AGAAGAAACAGCGTTGGCGATAGCACGCAGCCCTGTGGAACACCAACATTAATAGGCTTGCAATCGGAGCTTGCACCGTCTACAACGACCTTGATGCTCCGATCTGCACGAAAGCTGGTGATCCAATCGCACAATTTCTCGGGAAGCCCATAGGAAGGGAGCTTCGAAAGAAGCGCTTTGTGCCAAACCCGATCCAAGGCCTTCGCAATGTCCAAACTAACGGCCAATGCCTCCCCCCTTGAACTCTACAGCCTCCGCCCATCTGTGAGTTAGGTAGACCAGATCACCAGCTGACCGACCACGGCGAAAACCGTATTGGCGGTCACTAATCAGCTGGTGATCCTCAAGGTACCTCATGAGACGGCAGTTTACAATGGACTCCATTGTTTCGGAGAACAAGGAGGTGATGGCGATAGGCCGGTAGTTGGACGGGTCTGAGCGGTCGCCTTTTTTAGGGATCGGGTGGACGAAAGCCGTCTTCCACGATTTTGGGACTACGCCTAGGGAGTAGGAGTACCGGAAAAGACGCGTTAAAACCGGTGCCAACTCTGGAGCACACGTCCTCAGCACAATTGCGGGGATTCCGTCAGGCCCACTCGACTTGTGGATGTCCAGGGAGAGGAGTGCTTTGCGAACCGAGCGCTGTGTGAACTGCACTTTCGGCATGGAGCACTCACATCGCGAGATGGTCGGCGGCGTACTCCCCCCGTCATCGAGAGTCGAGTTAGACGCAAAGAAAGACCCTAGAAGATCTGCTTTCTCCTTTGCGGTGGGCCAATGAGTCGTCCTCCCTGTGCAGAGATGGAAGAGATGGCTGACAAAAGTTCCCCTGGACAGCCTTGGCGAGAGACCAGAATGCACAGGTTCCAGAAGAAAGGCGAACTAGTTTCTCGCCAATTCTGCCTATGTGCTCTGACTTTGCCTTGGCAATGACTCTTTTGAAGGACCTAGAGTCGGAATTATACTTCTTTTTTAGGGCGCTGGTGTTTACATCCCGAGAAACGCTGATGCATCAGCCCAGGCTTGGTAGCACTCCTGCTTATAGCATGATGCTATTTTACAGGAGCGACCAAACCATGGCTGAGATCTGCCTCCAATAGGCACTACAGAGGAAGGAATAAAAAGTTCCATACCCTGAAGTACCACTTCAGCAACAGAATCCGCAACAACGTTGGGATCGTCCGGCGAGAAGCAAACCCGACCGCAAGGGTAGGATGCAAAGAAAGACCGCATCCCATCCCAATCGGCTGACCTATAGTGCCAAACACGGCGGCAGCCTGCAGAATGCAACCGCGATTTCAGCGTGAGTGGCACCACACTCCGGACAAGACAATGGTCCGAGGAGCCTAAAGGGGCGCCGACGGAAATCTGATATCCATCCGGGTGAGAGGTCAGCAGAAGGTCCAGCAGGGAAGTTGCATGATCCTCCACATCTGGAATCCGTTTAACCAGTTGTGTCAGACCATAAGCCAAGGCAAAATCATGAACAGATCTCCCCGCGTGATCGGTTAAACGTGAACCAAGCTATTCGGCGTGATGGGCGTTAAAGTCTCCGAGGATCACGATCTCTGCGGAGGGGATCTGCCGTAGCAACGAATCTGCAGCCATTTGGACGTAGTCGAAGAGTCGGTCTGTTTCGGCATTACCGCTATGGGACCTATAGAGGCACCCGTAGATGCGCGGATGGTCGTCGCTGTCTACGCGTAGCCAAAGGATGGACAGGTCCAAACCTTCAAGTCTGCCGAGGCGTCGAGAACAGATGTCCTCTCTGACGTAAACGCAAACTCCAGCCCGAGGTACAAAGGAGTATACCAGTTTGTACCCCGGGTAGGAGAGATACGAGACATCAGCCGGAGAAGACACCTGCGTCTCGGTCAGAAAAAGCAGAGCCGGCCTCGCCGTCTCGAAATGGTAGTGGACGGCGTTTAGGTTAGATTGAAGTCCCCTGATATTGCAGAAATTCACGGACAGCGTGGCAGAGGTCGCCTTGGTCTTGTTGCTCCGTTTGCTCCGAGCAGTTGTAGTCTTGAGCGGAATTTTGCCCCCCCCCCCCTCCAGAATACGCGGGGCAGCCTTGAGTTGAGCTTACTTCATATCCCTCTTACCCGGGGTACAAATTAGAACACTCCTTTGTGCCTCTGGATGGGGTTCGCGTGAACTTCGGGGATGACATCTGTTTACGACGCGCCGGCAGCCTTGAAGGTACGAAGCTGTCCATCTTATGGCTGCGGTAGACAACGATGACCATCTCCGCGTCTACGGATGCCTCTACAGGTCCTATAGCGGTAATGCCGACTCAGACCGGCTCATCGATCAAGTCCAAATGCCTGCAGACTCCGTGCTATAATAGGTCCCATCCACAGAGATCATGATGCTTGGTGATTTTAACGCCCACCACGCTAAATGGCTTGTTTCCCGTTTAACCGATCATGCGGGTAGAGCTGTTTATGACTGCTTTAGCACATACTTTGGTCTGACACAACTGGCTACCTCGCCTTCGCGGATCCCATATGTGGAAGATCATGTAACTGCCCTGTTGGACCTTTTGCTGACATCTCATCCGGACGGCTATCAGGTCTCCGTCGATGTCTAGGCTCTTCGAACCGTTGTCATCATTATGACACTATCTTTTTTTTGCATCCTAGGGGAGTGGAAATATTTTTTACATCATTTGTGCTACCTATCGGCAGAACCCAGCCATGGTTTGGTCGCTCCTGCAAAATCGCGTTGCGCCATAAGCAAGGGGCCTTAGCTCACGTATCGACGTCTCGGGATGCGAATACCATTGCTCTTAAAAAGAAGTATAATTCCGTCTCTATGCTCTTCAAGTGTCATTGCCAAGGCAAAGTCTGAGCACATCGGCAGAATTGGCGAAAAACTAACGGAACACCTGAATTCTGGTCTCTCGCCAAGGCTGTCAGAGGGAACTTTCAACTCACTGGCTCAAGCCGTAAAGAACAAAGCTGATTTGCTGGGCTCTTTTTTTGCGTCCAACTCGACTCTTAATGATGGTGGAACACATCGCTGAACATCCTGCGGTGTGAGTGCTCCACTAAGGATGTGCTGTTTACCCAGCGCTCAGTGAGCAGAGCGCTCCTCTCCCAGGACGTAAACAAGTCGAGTATACTGATGACTTTGGTTTCACCAGGTTTTAACAGTTCATAATAGATTAAACCCTTGTGATCCCACCAAACACAGAATATTGTCCTCTTTCCAAAGCGATTTGGTCTTGCAGTGGATGTCGATGGTTCGCCTGGATGTACACAAAATGTACGACGCTTAGAATTCTCCAAATATATGGATTTTTCATCACCTGTCACAATTCGATGGCGAAATGACTTTCTTTTGTATTTGTTGAGCAGCATTTCATAAGTTTTTTTTTAATCTTTGCCATTGCTTTTAAATGAATGAAGACGGCATTTTGCATTACATTCAATTGATCCACGAGTTCTTGTTGAGTTTGAATGTCATCTTCATCCAATAAGGCTTGCTATTCGTTGTCTGTGAACTTTTTCTCCGGTTTCCCACAGCCTTAGATTTTCACATTAAAATCACCACTTTTGACTTGTTTTACCAAGAGCATGTTTACCATGTGCTTCAACAAGATTCGATGTGATTCCATGGCAATTTTCTTCAAATGATAACCGAAAACCAATGCTGCCTGCAAATCGTAGTTCTTAGGCAAAAACTCGACATGTTTCGGTTTTTAAATAATATACCGGTGTATGGAACTTGGGTTGTTGTGTACTAAAAATCTTTGCCAGCTTTTAGAGACAGATAATGGCGGTGCAAATGCGATCTTATGGTACCTAAGCTGTTGGCTAGCCTATATAAAAATTCCAGTTTCATACTTCTACACTTGGTATATAAATTGCAGCTTTTTTAAAATAACATATATTATATTAAAAGAAATACTTTTTAATTTATTTGCCATGACCTTTAAAACTATCAAAGGTGTCAGCCAATGTTATTTTTTGGTAATTTTTATTGAATATTAGATGTCAAAGCGGCAGCCTTATTACTTTAACATTTTTTCAGTAAATTTTATAAACTTTCACACATGAGCATCTATAAAACAATCACCAGTCAAATTAAATTTCCCATTTGATGTACCTCAGGTATAGGATATAAGCTCTGGTTTGGGAAGATAGATGTCCATGAGAGATGTCTATATGTTCCATATGTCATTGCTGGACCATACAGTTTATTAAACTTGACATTTAGAATACTATCAGTTAACTAATAAAGCCCATAATATCCACAAATGAAAAAAGGGCTTTCCCATAGATATAATGATCCTAAACCACCCACATCTATCAACATACATAATGATCCTAAACCACCCACATCTATCAACATACATAATGATCCTAAACCACCCACATCTATCAAATGCTTGTTTCATCGGGATGTCACTCCTAGTCGGAGGTCGCCAAACACTGCATGCCGCTACAGACAGTTAGAAAGGGAAGAACCCTTCTTCACATTGTTTGCTAGCTATATGGCCAGTCCCTTGCTATTTCAGCTTACTGATCTGTTAGACTGTGTCAGTTACTCTTGTTCTTGTGTGGATACCAGCAGAGAAATTGCAAGCATAGCTCTTTCCATCACACACTGAGTGACTTAGAGCTCCCACATATGGCTAAGGGTGAAGGACCATGTTTCAATTCCATAAGTCATCACTGGCAACACACACTGTTTGCACAGTTTAATCTTAAGATTTTGAGGAATATCAAACAGATAAATTTATGGCCAATTTCCAAAGACAGCCCAGCAAGTTGTATTTGTTGGTTGACCTCTTGGTCTTGAACTTACCTACTCCTAATTTTATATTTTACTCATCAACAACTTCAAGCTTAATCACTACCAATCTTAACAACTACCAATGTAACAATGTTATATAGACATTTGACAAGATTATGAGTAAGCTAAAATTAATGAACATCACCATTTATTTTTATATCTTATGTAGAAAGATATTTAACAATCAAACATCTTACCTATTCCATACTCTTCATCTTGAATATTTGTTATGTAATCTTCATCAATGTCTATAAAACACTTTAAATGATCAAGATATAATTCTGAGTGAAATTCTTTCAAGTCTTGATAGCTTGCTGCTGTGGGTCGAATGACTTTTAAATTATCATTTAGACTATACGCCATTATGAGGTTGTGCACCATAGAAGCCTATAATTGATATGATCAGATTTCATTATTCAACAAAATTAGATACCCAAGTAAATTAGTAGTAAGGGAAAGTATCAGAAAATTGTTTTAATCTAAAAGTTAAAAATGTTTTTTAAACCTATTATATTTACATAGCTTAGGTACCAATGAGAAAATGTAAACAAACCCTATAAGAGACTGCTGGTAGACGATCACATTCTTTTACTAAAGATTCATCCCAAATATAACATGCTTTTCTATTCATTTTCAAAATACAATTTATTCGTCTTATTTATAAAATTTGCAAAATACTGTAATTTTAAATTAAAATCATTACACTTATTATATACATATTTACATATCTTCACTAATATGTATTAGTCTATGTTTACATACTTATTTTAATTAGGTAATTAATTTGTTTTTATACAATTTTATTTTGAATTATGTACCATTCTCCAGTTTTTAATACGATACAACCTGTCAATTACTTTCCTCTATGCTGTCAACCCATAGATAAATAAATATGTAGCAAGCTATGTCAACCACAAACTAGATACACCCGTCTGTCAACTATTTTATTATCAATGCTGCCAACCATAGATTACTGACTATGCCAACTATTTATCACACACTAGGCATGGGCCGATATGTCAAAACGTAACTAATAACGTATGTTAACAAAATATATCATATCCACTGACCTCTATATATACAAGTACGCTGGACAGGCTATATCATAGAAAATGACTGGGCCAATTTGAAGCGCCGCTAAAGGATGTCTTGAAAAATAAAATTGACATAATATGCCAAAGTTTGTTGTCATATTCAAATTGTCTTATTTAATAAATCAGTATTTTGAACTTTTAAACTAAAAAACGAAAGTATTTTATGTTATTTAATTATGTATAATATTAGTTACATAATAAGTATTATTTTTATTAATAATAAGAGTGTGCGTAATCTGTAAAACTCGTTACTAAAAGAGAAGTGATATAACATTTCACAAGTAAGTGAATTTGCAGCAAATATTAAACAAATTAAAACTATTTGATAATATAAGTACTTAAAAATTTGTTACTAATCTTAATATCATAAATACCAACACCTTTGGCTTTATATTACTGAGTTTTGATAAACAATAAAATTCAATAGGGTTGTCGAGTTCCTTGTCTATAATACGTGTCGATGTTCTTTTCTACCCATATCTGTTAACAAACAAAGTCGCCAACAACAAATGATTATCAAATGTTTATTAATTAACAGTTTTCCAACTGAACCTAGACTAAAATTATGGCTTAAAAGAATAAATATTGTGAATTGGCGTCCGAAACAAAATGATCATATTTGTTCCAAACGTTTCACAGACGACTGTTTTATTAGACATGAGAACTGCACCACTTCGAAAAAGTGCAGTATACCAACAATATTTTCTGGTAGTAACAGTACCAGTAAGTATAAAAGTATTAGATTATTATGTCGAATGTATTTTTTTATTCCTCCTTTCCTTTGTCATTAACAAAGTGGTGAAACGCAACCGTCGGAACTTCTCCGCTGCCTGGATAGACTACAGAAAGGCATTCGATTGCCCCATACATGGCTAAAGAGGATTCTCGAGCTGTACAAGATTGATTGTACAGTTAGAGACTTCCTCGGGCAGTGTATGGGGCAGTGGAGTACGATCCTTTGTCCTCTGGGCGAGCGGATGATGGCTGCGGAAAGCCACATAAGGATAAGAAGCGGTATCTTCCAGGGCGATTGTCTGAATCCAATCTGGTTCTGGAGGGCTCCGGGAGGGGTTTTCAGCTTCGGAAAGGAGGTACAAAAGTGACTCACCTTTTTATATGGATGACCTCTGTTATTGGCCTCCAGTCGCTCTCATCTTGTGGAATTGCTAAACATCACTTGTGAATTTAGCAATTCTATTGGAATGGAGCTGGGGACGGATAAGTGTGCGGTCCTCCACGTTGAAAGGTGAAGGGTTGCTAACTCTGAGGGCATAGACTTATCTATGCCCATCAGTTTAAGGACCCTTTCCGAGGCTGAAACATACTGATACCTGGGTGTGTCACAGAATATCGGTATCGATGAGGCTGGTATGAAACAGTCAGCTTGCGACGTGTTTTATGCACGCTTGACCAAAGTGCTCAACAGCCTTTTGTCTGGTGTGAATAAGACACACGCATATAACGGTTGGGTCATGCCTGTCCTCGTGTATACCTTTGGCATACTCAGGTGGACTCAGATCGAACTTAATGCCCTGTGTAGAAAAGTCCGCACTACTATGACGTCCCATAGGATGCATCATCCGAGATCGTCGATAATGACGTACTTGCCGCGAAAGCATGGTGGGCGTGGCTTTTTGAGCGCGCTCACCATGCATAATCGCGAAGTGTGCAGCCTCCGTAATTACTTCCTGGCGAAATCGGATTATCCATTCTATAAGGACGTAATTTTTTGTGATAAAGGACTTAGCCCTCTATCCTTAGCCAACGAGCAATGGCAAGACCCGGCAGTGCAGAGCATTTCCGACCGGGATACCGTGTGGAAGGAGAAGGAGCTCCACGGGAGGTTCTACAAGGCTCTACATGAGCCTTTCGTAGACACAATAGCCTCTCTCCACTGGCTACGCTTTGGTGACCTCTTCGGGGAAACTGAGGGTTATGTCTGTGCAATACAGGATCAGGTTATTAAGACCAACAACTATCGGAGATACATCCTAAAGGATGGCACCGTCTTGTCAACATCCCGGTGAGTGACTTAGGCATGTCGTCTCCAGTTGTTCGGCACTTTTTCAATCTGAGTACTTGCATAGGCACAACCTAGTAGCCAGAATTATTCACCAAGAGCTCGCTCTGAAATACGGTCTCGTGGACCGGAAATTGCCGTATTACAAGTACTTGCCGGAAGCCATGCTCGCAAATGATCGCGCCAGACTCTACAGGGACCGGGCCATCATCACAGACAGGACTATTCTTGCGAATAAGCCTGATATTGTGCTGATGGACCGGGCACAGTCAAGGATATTTTTGGTCGACAAAAGGTTCTTGAGTGGCAGCCTCGTACCGATGGGTGAAGTGCAGGGCTACACCCCAATAGATTGAGTGATGACCTGGTAAGACATGCTGGAAGTCGATGGATGCAGGTGGATCAGAACCGTGCTTTGTGACACCCCTTGGGGGAGGCCTATGTTCAGCAACGAAGTTGTGAAGGGCTGTAGGTAACGAATGAAAACATACTAGAAATCACTTTTACCAACGCAGAACTTATGTGGACTATCATAATTTGTTTATGATTAAATAATTTCGACATAGTCCTCGCCTTACGTTGCTTACGCATTAGCGATGGGTCATACTTGCAATATCGAGTACCAGGGCTTGCAAGTACGTTCACCTTCAAATAATAGCGCCAAAAACCAGGGTTTGAGATACTTTCAAGTATTTTATTTCTGCATCGAAAATTGATCCGTAAGAATATATAAATAAGTAGTGCAATCGCATAAGTATGCTAAAATAGTAAACTTTCAAGCCTTGATGGAACAAAAATACTTGCATAGAATATTGATTTCTTACTATGTACAAATAAAGCATGCATTCGCGTTTACAAAATAAATACTTCCAAACCTTTAAAAGTTCCAACTTTCAGGACTTGTTGTAAGAAAAATACTTGCATAGAATATTGAACTGTAACTATATAATAATAAAGAGCACAATCGCGTTTACAAAAAATACTTCCAATCATTTAAAGTAAATATACCTCGATAGAACATTGATCCGTAACAAAATATAAATAAGGAGCAGAATCGCGTAGAGTGTCGATAGAGCGGGAATATTCGAATACTTTGAAGTTTTGCAAGTTGTTCTGGGTCGGCACTTGGTCGGCGTACTTGCAAGTAAATACCTGGTATAAAAACCTGGTCGCGTAAATACGCACCTTCCCTATTACACATGTAGACAGCGGCACTAGTGTATCGACAGGTGTACAATTTGATGGTATTCGTAAATGCATTGAACACAAACACAAATGCTATAGTGTGCGTGTATAGTGACGCGATTCAATTCTGAATTTGTAGTAAAGTACACAGTAGTGTTTTTCTTGCGACCCCCTGACATCGACATACTTTTTGTTGAGTATGGCCTCTCCAGTTGGTTGAATACTCAAAGCTTTAAGAGGCGGCAGGACGTAGACAGTAGTTTCTGTCTACGCGGTGGGACTCCCTTAGTAAAAGTAAATATATGAAAAAGCGCTAAACTGCTCTACCAACATCAAAACACACAAACTAATAAGAGTACTAACGTGATCAAAACATGACATTTATCTTTTGAAAAACAGTGCTGACAACATATACAAATTATACTAGTGTTGTGAATGTCCATCCTCGAATAATTTTATCGATATTATATTTATCGTTATATTGTTTATCGATATTTTTATACAGTGTGTAAGTCTAAACACCGTTGTCACTGAAACCATAGGTAGTTGGCTTTAATATAAAAATATTTATCCTATTTAAAAAAAAAACGCTATTTTCTTTCATAAAATTAAAATAGTTTCTGTCCGACACCGTCCGTAAATTCATGGACCCTATGCGGCCGAGTGACGTAATCACTGTAAAGATCACCGCTCGCCCTTGCTACCTACACAACATTTCAATAAAAACACAATGGTACACATAACCTATGATGTAACTTTTCCTTCGTACTTTCTTACTGGCTTAGGACAGTCAAAAATTCCTACCCTTTGTGTTGCGTGAAGAGTCCAAATTAATGTAAGTTAGATTTAACAACAAAGAAAATTAAACATTAATAATAGTAAATCACTAGGTAGGATTTATATATGTTATGTGTGTATGTGTGCATAATGTTATGCACACACGGCTACACACTAAGCTATGCAAATCCAATGGGTAGCTCGCCGTCCAATCAAGGACCCGGGGTCCCGGGGCTGTCTAAGCAAGATACCACGTCCTTGGAACGCAAAGGGTATTTGAAGCTTAAGCTGACAGTTCATTGTACGGAAAGATCATACAAAGCGAGGCCAAGACAAACTGGATTTGTATAGCTTGATGTGTAGCCTGATTGATTGATTATTTACACTTACCTATTAAATAAAATCCTCGTAAATGAATCCCATTTTGATCAGCTTTTACATTAATCGTAAAAGCTGTTCAAAATGCGATCCATTTACAGCCACGCATGCCTCCGCACGTTTCCGTAGATTGTTACGCACTCTAGGAAGCACAACAGTGTCATTTTTTAAGTCTCGAAACACACTAAGAATTCGCCTTTTGAGTTCCGACGTATTACGGAACTTAGTTGGCATACACTCGGCGCTTCACTTCTCCCCAAAGATAAAAGTCCAGCGGGGTAAGGTCGGGCGAACGCGCTGGCCACGCAACTGGCCCTCCACGTCCAATCCAACGCCCAGGAAACTCCTCATCCAACATAGCCCTGATTTGCAGCTGAAAATGTGCAGGGGCACCGTCATGTTGGTAGTAGAGGTTTCTCAGTGAACGAAGAGGCACATTTTCTAACATCCTGTCGAATACATGTCGTAAAATAGCCATATACGACTGTGCATTCAAATGGCCGTCAATAAAATAAGGTCCAAGAAGTTTGCCGTCTAGAATTCCCGCCCACACGTTTACGGAAAAACGGCGCTGATAACTGTTTTGCCGTATTCGGTGTTCGTTTACCCAACTCCAGTAATGTTCATTACGAACATTGTAAATGCCCGACCTTGTAAACACTGCTTCGTCCGTAAATAAAATGGAAACGTTATCAAAGTTTTGAATAAGCCATTGCGAAAATACCACCCGCGGTATGTGGTCGTTTTCATTTAACTCTTGAACCGGCTGAAAATGATACGGATGTTGACGATCAATGTGCAGAATTTTCCAAATTGTCCAGTGAGAAACACCGAAAATACAGGCCGCCCGCCTGGTACTCTCCTCTGGGTTCTCCGCGAAGAAATCCAAGATACGTTCTTGAAGGGTAACTGGCAGCTGCTGGTTGCCACGCCACTGAGCATGAACCGGCACGGTAAACTGTTCATAGCTACGTAACCTTTGTGTGGCCGCCAACAAAGTTTCACGATTTGGCACAGGTTGTCCAGGGAATGATTCTGCGTACATTCGTCGAGCCTCGTTCACATTGTCGTGACTTAACGCATAAAGTCGGACCATTTCGGTCCACTGCACGTTTGTGTATGACATAACTCCAAACTAAACTAAACAAAACTAAACTAAACTACACACTCGCAGAAAACTACGCGGCACGGCGCGGGGAGCGCTTATAATTCAAATAAACACGTATTCGCTTACCGAAGCAGCGACTGACTGAGAAAATGAAACAGTGACGCTACGGACTGTCGGCTAATTGCCTTGACCGCTCAGCTGTTGCGCGATACCCTGCCTACAATATGTTGACTATAATTTTGTATATGCCTAGGGTGAAATAATTCTAAGGAAAAAATGAGATTTGACTTAAAAAAAAATGTTTCAAGGACAACGGTGTTTACACTAACATCCTGTATAATAAAAGTTAGATCCACAAACTATAAGTTTTTTAAGTTTGTGTTAAGTGTTCAGGACTTCATAGGCGTGATTTTACTGACAGCTGTCGCTGAGATCACAGAGTACTTTGTATAAACAGAGATCAAACTATCTTTTATGAACTATAATAAGAATACTAACGTAACGTAACGGAAGTAGCGTGTTTGTTATATTATATATAGCTTATATTCTCTTTGTTTCTGTCTTCCTATTTATCATAGATTTAGAGTTTATACCATCTATGCCACAGAGTACATTATAATCTATGCTATTTATTTACAATTTTTATTTATCTGTGGTATTTGTAAAGCGTCCATTTTCTGAGAATAAAACGAATATTTTTGACATTTTATAAAGCTATAAGCTATAATGTTATTATATTTCAGATCAAGGAATAAAGTGCTCCAACGAGTTCTTAGAAGTTTTAGTGAGTGATTACGGACGTAGTTAATATCAAAAGAGCCATCACAAATACAAAATGACTAAATCGTGATCGTCAGCGATTATTACTATTCAAAAACAACATAATATTATATATATCTGACAAGGTCTATTACAAAATATTTGTTACGCGAGTTTTTAATGATGCATTTTGTTTTTCCTGCATAATAAATCAATTATTAGGTATATGGTGTTCTATAATTTTGAGTCAGCGATAATTTTTTCAAGTGAAAATGGTTCGAGGTTAGTATTATTTCTATAAAATAACCGCACTCATGACTAAAAAGCCTTTGTTCGTTTTATACCCTCTCTTTGTAAATTTTAATTTGAATAATTTGCCAATTTTCATTAGAAATTTAATTTTGATGCTGCTTGTTTATTTGCCTGTGGTTTTAAGGCATTGTAGTTATGGCGGCAAAAACGTAAGAAATTAATAACTATAGATATAAAATCTTTTTGCATGTTTTTAAATATAGGAGTAATTTTAGTCTATTTATGGGAAATTTTATTGAGGTCCAACACCATTTTACGCTTTGAAAATGTTATGTAAAATCTTAAAACTACCCTTTTTTTAAATATGCCTCCTCCATATATACCTCTTCCATATTTCTACCATAAAACATGCCTAGTTATAGTCCTAGGGGAAGAATCTTGAATTCCGTTTATGGAAAATGGTGGCCTTTTCCTAAATTAATTTTGAAGTAAAGGATTAGTTTCTTTTGCTACACCTTAATTAACATTTTTTATCCTATTACAATATATATTATCAGTTATACATGCCCGTTAAGCCTAGGCAGGTAAGAATCTTGAATTCCATTTATGGAAAGCAATAAGGCCTGGGCCTTTTCCTAAATTAATTTTCCTAAATGAAGTAAAGGATTAGTTTCTGCTTTTGCTACACCTTAATTAACATTTTTTTAATCCTATTACCAATATATATAATATCAGCATTATATATAAAGAAAGGGTTAAAATTTAGAGTCGTTTGGCAGGAATTTGGGGGAATAAGGTGTTTTATTTGGTAGAGGTTTGGTCCCCGATTATAATAATACCACTCCCATTAAAAGGTAATGCACCGTTCTTGAGAAAAATCAAAAAGAAAATCCTATAGAACTAACCTCAAAATGATAACTCAAAATAAATTAAGGGGGTGGGAGGTGGTGGAGGAGGCGGGAGAGTTATAGAGTCGCCCTCCACTTCCACATCCTGCCGGACATGCTTAGTTTTTTTTTTATAAATTTTTAAACAGTTGCTTATGCACAGATGCCTGCGGTTTGCTAAGACGGTATGGAATAATTTATCATTTTCCATACTTTACGCATTTTAGGTTATAATAGTTTTTATTTATTTTTTCGATAACGGTGCATTACCTTTTAATGTAAGTGATATTATTATAATCGGGGACCAAACCTCTACCAAATAAAACACCTTAATCCCCCAAATTCCTGCCAAACGATTCTAAATCCAACCCTAAGTAAGCGCAGTGTTTATCATAACCCTAGTTTGTCCCAGATAGGTAATTTGCACTGTAAGCATAAAAGCCTATTCACTCTTGCTTTAAAGACATGCAGATTTTAAAGAGGTTCCCATAAATGATTCCACTTCTTTGCTGGATGTGTTATGAAAGACAAAGCAAACCATTTCATCGGAGTGAGAGTTACATCAACAACAAGGGACGGCAATCTGTCGAACTCCTTTTTGTCAGATGGTAGAAAGGGGAGGGATGAATTAAATAATGTAATTCCTGCCTCAACTCTCTTATAATCTATTACTTACTTTTCTAAACTATAATTACAGGATTTGCGTATTTCTTAAAATCTCACTATTTATAAATCTATATTTATCAACCAATTTAAGAAATGAGCTTGCTCTGAGCATTAACCATTTCACTGTCCCATGAGTCATATATGAACATTTCGATTGTTTAACTATTGTGTCTTTTTCGCGGACAGGGTAGTTGTTAAGTCAGTTCTGCTTTCAGCAGTTTATACAGGCAGCTTACAAGTGAAGGAAATCATATATAGAAACGAGCCGATACCTGCTCGCATTGCTGGGCACATGGATAATTTTTTTTCGATTGAACAATGTTTCAGTAGTTTGTTGTGCTGGTTATAATTTTGGAGTCGGTCAGTCAGTGGTATTCGCTTATAAGCCGACTCTCATTAATTCGAAACTCGAAGGACTTAAAATATTACGAATTATCGAGTGTTTGAAATATCAAATGGTTCGAAATTTTTGAGAGAAAATAAATAAAACATTGGATTATTAAGTATTGATCAATTATTATTATTTATTAACGACAATGACAAAAACTTAGACTTCCATTTTCCACTTCCGCTTTCCCCACAAACTTTTTTAAACACAAATTCATTTCTCTTTTTGAAATTTGTAAGCCCTGTCATTGTAAAGCCTGGTCATTCGGCTAAGACAGTATAGAGGACAAAAGTTTCTAAGAACTTGTTCTTGGGGAAATGTTTTTAATGCTTAGTGTAGATGCAAACTTCTGCTTTTTCCTTTAACAAGTTTCTGCTAATAGAAACTTTTGTCCTCTATACTGTCTTAGCCGAATGACCAGTCTTTCTTCCAGACAAGAAAATTCACCTTTAATAGTACTCTTCTGTACTCCAGCAGTTTGAGCAGCATGAATTTTCTCCTTGTGCTTTGTTATGGTTGGGAGAGTACTCAGAGGAATCTTCTTTTGAAACATCACTTTTCATCTCACCTCCCTTCTTGTTCTTTTGCTTTTTTGATTAACTCCTTCTTTTTGGCAATCATCAAGTATCTATACTTTTTAGACCTCATAACTAACACAAAGTTTTAATCTGTATACAACCAAACCAACGAAAGAGTAACAGTAACTGAAACAACTAACTAAACAAACCAATTCATGTGGAAGTGTGTGTTAATCGTAACAAAAACAAAGGCTCACATAGCAAAAAAAGGTTGAACTCATCTGAAAATGTACTCACAATCTTTCTGTCCTTTCTCTCTGCAACTTTGAATTGTTGAATGTTTAAAAAATTACCAAGTGCATAAAAATATATTAATTTAATTCAAAATATTTACCACATGCTTGGCGGTAAAGGAAAACATTGTGAGGAAACCTGCATGTCTGAGGATACATACATAAACACTCACGCCTGTCACCCAGAGGGGTAGGCAGAGACTACAGACTTCCATTTGGCACGATCCTGACACAATGTCTGAGGAATAAGAAAATATTTCGAAAACATGTGAAGTTCGCCAACACGCATTGGGGCAGCGTGGCGGACACTTCCTTGCCCTAAAACCCTCTCAGAAATGAGGGTAGGCCTGTGCCCAGCAGTGGGACATATATAGGCTGTAACTTTACTTTAGTTCAAAATATAAAGATATTTTATAGGGAACTTGTGATAACTTTGAGTTATAGAGAGATTCAAATTATCGCGGGTATGAAATAATGAGAGTCGACTGTATATAGATTGGCAAGCACTATTGTATTATATACAATGATGAATTATCTGCTCTCACAACAGAGAACCAGCCGAACTAAGCCGGTCTAACAGCTCATAGATTACAGAATAATGCAACCTCGAATATTTCATATGAAGGACTGACCCGAATCACCTGGTTCCTATGTCAAATCAATCCTTAAAATTAGTTCACTAGGATGACACGTGTCTATTGGATATTTAATACCATTAAAAAAATTACTTTTTTCAAAAAGTTTAATTTTAAAATAACATTTTCAGTTAATAGTTTAATAACTGAGACCCAAGATGGTGTTAAGACTCCTCATCGAATTGAGTTGTGTGATGAAAAATTGGATAGACCTGTACGAAACTACAGAAAGCGCAGGTATTCCATTTTCATAGTTTTTAGATAATAATAATTATAATTTAATGTGGCTGCTGGTGGTTTGATTATTATATTGGTGGTTTAGATAAAAATAAATAAAAATCATCTCTTTATATTTATGGCAATCTCATTGTTAATATTTCCTCTAAAAACAAATAGAACAAGGTACTGTGATTATATTACATATGATTGAAATTTAATTGCTTGACTATTTCTGTACTGCCAACCCTTAGTAAAATTTAAAAAAAATTATTCTTGATCAAATGTAAAAATTTGTAAATAATTTACTAATATCTATTTCGTTTTACAAGGGGTCGCCCAACAACTGATGCTGGTTAAATATATCTTCAATGCATGGGAGAATTCACAGGACGCTTTGGGTATATTCTGCGTAGTCAGAGGTGTTTATAGATTTGAACCCATACCAATATTTATCCGATTTCAGAATTAAAAATCTACTTTTAAAAATCTGTTTTCAATAGCGCTTAACTATGCCAATTTGTTCACGTACTTAGATTTCATTTTATAAGTTAACAAAACTACAAATCAATATATAATACGGACACAGATTTGCATGATTATTCTTCATGCTTTAATGTAGGCTTAGAACAAGCAGAAAAGTTTTGTATGAAATTAAAACTTTTCCTGCACATTTAAAAATTGGCATATTTACAATGATTTCTTAATATAATTTTTTGGTTTTTATTTTACTCGATTGACAAAATCAAAAATACTTAAAAGTTATATGAACTTACTTATACATAATGTCCCAAAATTCAACGATAAGCCAACACTGGAGGATAGACCTGCCCCGGACTAATCGGGGAAAAAAAGAAAAAAAAAACATATCCCAATTATATTTTAAGTTATATAAAAAAATGAAATTCTTCAGAAATTGAGACCGTTTATGATATTTTTCACTACCATGACCACAATTTTTTTTAATATTTGTTTCTTTTTTTTTATAGGCAACCTGAATAGCACTGCTATCTACCACAATTCTTAAAAAACCCAAGAATAACTCTTGTTTTATCACGAAAATTAATGAAACTTATTTTATTCCCTAAATTTTTTGAAGACTTTTACTTTTAACCAACTTTAACTTATCGTGGTGTAAAAAAAAGTATTAACACTAGTATGGCAAGTTTTTTTAAAAATTGACGCAACTAACCAACATTCCAAAATGGTATAATACTCTAGGAAAACAAGTTATAAAAAAATATGTGCCTATTATTTCTTAACGGGGGCCAAATGACAGTCAGGTGTAATAAAAGTATTAGTTCTTGAAAAATGTTTAATATTTCAAAACAAATAGTACAAACAGTTTCACGTGTAATTTATTAAGTTATTAACATTATAGCAAATGTTCGAACTGTTTGCCACCAGCATTAATACATGCATGACATCACTTTAAAAATGATCGTTTTATTTGTCTTGCATATCTTCTGCTATTAATGTAATCAGCAGCCTGAGTGATATTTCGACGAAGCTCGTCCAATGTCGCAATGGGTTTTGAGTAGACCCTGTCTAAGACAACCCCAATAGAAGTCCAGGGGGTTCAAATCGTGTGAACAGGGTGGCCATAAGATAGGACCAAGTCGCCCGATCCAACGCCCTGGATACTCTTGATTTAAATATTCTCGCACAGGACGGGCATAATGTGCTGGGCACAACCATTATTTTTGAATCACATGTTTTGGAGATAACTTCAGGGCACGTCGTCTAACAATTCTTGCAAGTCATTTTGTAAAAAGTTTAAATAACTATTGCCATCTAAGTTTCCTTGTAACTCAAAGGGCCCAATTACTTTTCCATTTAATATGCCGGTCCATAGGTTAACCTTGAATTGATATTGGGATTTGTCTTGCCTCAAGTGCGGATTTTCATTACTCCAACTATGTAGGTTGTGAAGATTTAAATACCCATCTTTCTTGCATGTTGTTTCATCCGACCATAGAATTTTGTCTAGGAATTGGGGATCTTCACTCTGCCTTTGCAGCATCACACGGCAAAATGTGACTCGTAGCGGATAGTCCCGCGGTAATAACGTCTGCACACGCCTGTAGTGATGTAGGTGAAGCTTGTGACATTTTAATATTCGATGTGCAGAACCTTTCGGGATTCCTGTAGCTTCTTCTATGGCAGCGTACCGAAGTAGTCGAATCATTTTCTATCTCATTGACAACTTCTTCATCACGATCCAATCTAGGTCTTCTAGCGCTTCTCCTATTGGATGGCATACGACCCTCCGAAAACGCTTGATGCACATTAATAAACACTCGATAATCAGGATATCTTTGGGCATTTGGGTATCTTTCTCGATACAGTCTGCTAGCAGCGTTAGTATTACAACGGCATTCTCCATAGATTAAATGCATATTAACGTATTCCTGTGGTGTGTACGGTTGCGGCATGTTAAACGCCAAACAGTCCAAAATGCGCCAGAACTCTAAATCACAAAACACACAATCGTAGTCCAAGATAATGCCAGGTCAGTTCAGTTTGCAGATCACTTCCAGTCCAAATAATGCCAGGGCAGTTAAGTTTGCAGGTCGATTCCAGTCCAAAAAGCCAAGCCAAAAGTCGATAGTATGTACGAGAGCCACGTAAGTTGAATTGGGAACGGTGCGCAGTAAACAAAAGGAGCAGAGCGTACTGAGCTGACTTGCTGAGAATAATAACAGCTTCTCTACTTGCCCTGTTGTTGTCTCTTTTCAACGTAAATATCTCTATCTATCTATCTATCTATCTCTCTCTAACATCTAAGGTATGTATGCCCCATTCAAATTTCTAAAAATTTGCATCTAAACGAAACAAAACAACATGAAAAGAAAAGATTGTTTCTAGTAAACAAACACAAAAGAAAAAACAAAAATAAATCATCACACAATCTTGCAAATATAGTCTACAGCTTAATAATATGAACAATATTGATTGCATATTTCAAAAATTCTTGTAAACAAACATCCAAACACAAAACCAAAAATTCATCAATGCATATTCCCGCAAAGCAAATACAGACTTTAAGTACTTTGCAGTAAGGATAATATTGGTTGCATATTTTAATGTGTTATAAATTTCCATAGCCAACAAACCAAAATCTAAATCGCAAAATTCACGCCATCCTTTCATTCCGCTATCTCGTGTTTGGCTTAGAAAGAGAGAACTGAGAAAGCGGATTTCTACGTTTTTTCGTTTGAATTTGAATATTGTTGATTTAGTTTAATTTGGTACCACAAATTTTCATTTGGGTTTGATTATTCTCGATTTGGATTAGTTAGGTAGATTTTTGAAACCGGATTTTTTAGCTTGAGAAACGTATCGATTTGTGTTTGAAATCGGTTTTTAGATTTGTTTTAATATATCTGACGCATGCTTAATTCTGTGATCTATCCAAAAACTTCGATTGTGTTTACCATGAAACATTAATCAGGAATATTCAACACTATGTTCTAAGAAGTAATGCTCTTAAATGAATTATTTCATATTTAGGTAGCAGAACGCAAGTAAGTTCTTCTGGGTTGATAGTATAAATGGGTGTGCCTCAGGGATCAATTCTCGGCCCCTTTTTTTTGTATATTTTAATGACTTACTTTACATAGTATGAGATAACCATGATATAGTTTTATTTGCCGATGATACTTCATTCATTTTCAAATTAAAACAACAGTTACTAAATTATGACGAAGTAATTAATGCAATATCTAAATTACTAAATTGGTTTAATGTTAATAATTTGCATTTATATGACACTACTACTAAATGTATTAAATTCATAACTCCGAATGTCAAACATGTTAGTACTAATATTATTTTAAATAGGGAGGAGCTGAGTCTTGTTGATACCACCAATTTCTTGGAATGACACTAGATGCTAAGCTTCAATGGGGCCCCCATATATCAAAACTAGCAAGCAGACTTAGTTTTGCAGCATATGCTGTAAAAAAGATTAGAAATCTACCAGCGTTGAGACAGCTGGACTAGTTTAATTTATCTATTTTCATATCATAATGTCGTATGGTATTTTGCTATGGGGACATGCGACTCACTGAAATTATATTTGTTTTACAGAAGAGGGCCATTAGAGCAATCTATGCTTTAAAACTTAGAGTCGCTCTGGCAAAAATTTATGGAAATTAATATATTAACTTTGGCCTCTCAATACAATTATGAAAATGTAATGTACGTACACAAAAATAAAAGTAGTTTCATAAAAATAAGTGATATTCTGTAAATACTAGGAACAGACACAAGCTAGTAGTACCTGTTACTCGACTCCACCGAGTCAGTAATTCATTCTTGGGGCGATGTATACGCTTTTTCAAAAGAGTCCAAGAAAATATACAAAATTTGACCTGCACAAAGTTCAAAAACTTTATTAAACTAAGTTTGTGTAAAAAGGGTTATTATAATATTAAGGAATTTATGGATGATAATAACCCCTGGGAAGACTGTAACTGTAACATAATATATTTGTAAGCTGTAATTTTTTTTAAATGTACCACTGGGTTTCTTGCTGGTTTTTCCCAGGACAGAAGGTTTTCCGAACCAGTGGTGAATTAGAAAAAGTGACTCAATAAGTATTATTTTAATCTATATAGAATAAAAAAGTTTCTGTTTCCTTAACATTACTAAGGATTCAATCTAATATAGTCATCAATATAATATACAAGATATACACTTTTATATTTAAATAATAAATAACCATATTATCTTTTTATAGGATTGTCGCCACATCACATATAAAGACTGAAAATGAGGAATTTTTGGATGAGGCACCATTAAAAAAAGTTAATGTTAAATCTAAGCCATTAAAGAGTAGTAATGGTAGCATTAACAATATGACCAACGGCAACACTATGAGGTCTCGTGCCTCAAAAACAACTTCTAAGGCAAATGAAAGTCATAAACTTACGGAGTACTTTAAAGAAGAACTCAAGAATCAACCAAAAGTAGAGTCACCACCTTCTCTGTTAGCCATCGACAAGCCTGCCAAAGTAGAAGCTAAATCTGTTAATGGACATACAAATCACAAACTAACAGAGTATTTTCCGGTTAGGCGTAGTGTTAGAAAGACTTCAAAATGTGTTATGGCGGAAAAAATGCGTGACCTAGAACGAGCTGTAAGAGAACAAAGAGAAGATGGACTGCAGGTAAACGGCATTGAATATATTTCAATTCTTCTTTGACTATGCCGAGTCTTGTTTATATCCTCCTGAGACCCAAGGTATAAAATAATGCCGTATCCTCGTGATTTTTGGCATAAGAAGTAGTTTGAACCTAAGAACTTCAGCAAAAATAAAAATAAAAATCCCCTCCTCCCCAGAAGGCAAAAAAGGGGGTATCACAGATGATACTTTGGGTTCTAATCAAACTCAAATGTGTAGTTTTTACTTTTTATTTCACATACTTTAATTCTTAATTTATTGCAAGTGAAAATTAGAAAAACAGTTTCTATTGACATTAAAACATAAAAATATGTCACAGGTGGAACATTTTACGAAAGTTAGCTGACTGCATCCCTTCATTCTACATTTTGATCTATTGGTTTGATTGCCTTTGGCACATACAGGCAAGTGCTTTGCTTCCTATACGCTTTGTGACGTATGGGGTATTGGTTCCACAAGTCTATGGGGTCTTTTCCGATTCGGCAGTGCTTGTTCTTCTTCCATTGGTAACGGAGGTCGAAGGCTTGATGTCAGTCTGGGACTTATACGTGGGCTGTTGCGAGATAAACGGTCTAAACTAAGAATGGAACACTGCGATTGAGATTGCATGGTATCGCCATAGATCAAATGTTTAGCCAAGTCCATTTTGAAATCTAGGTACTGCATTATTTGCTTCCGGGGAAGACCACACTTCACAGCATCTTGACGATATTCTATCCAAGCTGCTGCAGACGCGAAATCGAAAAAGTGAAAGATACCGTCCATTTTCCGGTTCTTCCGCGAATTGCATACTTTCCAACAATCCGATCTAATAAATCAATGCCTCCTATGTATGAATCATATTTTTTTATTGCCGCCGGTTGTGGAATATCAAGATATTGGCGATCTTTCTTGCTCCAGCGGTGGCACGTCCCAAGAGGTTCAATGGCAATGTCTGTCGATGCTACATAAATTGGCTTGCTATCGATCCACGTGACTACCGCTATCTTTTCGTCTTGCCTCACCACACAATCATAACTTCCTCTACCGTTCTTTTGTAAAGTCCTGTCGGTTTTCATTAAAGCCTTTTTCTTCTGCTGCTATTTAGGCATTAACATATCCTGGCACGCGATTTTTCATGAGAGTGCCAGTACAATTGATGTTTCTTTCTGTTAGGTTTTCCAACAGAGTAATGGATGTGAAATAACGATCGATATAGATTGATGTTTTTTGTGGTAAAGTGTCGATCAGTTTTAATATAACGCGTCCTCCTAGATCAAGTTTCTTGGGCATTGGATGTATGGCTGATTCATATACTACTTAAACTTTAATCCCTTCGGGAGTTGGTTTCCCTTTAACGACCTGCTTCATCTTACATTTTCCGGTAAAAGGTATCATTTGTTCGTCAATAGATACACATTTCTCTCTTTCGTTTTCTCTACAGGCTCTCTCAATTTCAGACACTATAGTGCGAATTTTCCAGAACCGATCTACATCTCTCATTGCTGGAGACACTTTGTGATCTTCCACAACTTTCAGGTTTGCTCTGATGCTGAAGTATCTATTACGAGTGATCGTCTCTGCTACAAGTTTCACTCGTGTTTCTGCGGCCCAAAATATTCGAATCCGAGGAAGACCAAGTATTCCTATTGCAATAGAGCAGCCGATGAAAGATCGTATTTCTTCAGACGTCGTATTCAGAGACTTGCCAGTTCGTTCTACACTGGATGTATTCATACAGGTCGACACTATGTCAAAAAAGCCGGGGCGAATATATTTCGAAAAGTATTCATAAGAACTTAAAAGTGAGGGTGGATTTTCCGTGGGCTGACTTTCCAATGGTGGATCTGCATCAAAAATATTATTGAAGCTATCTGAACGATTCCACGTCAGTGGTCGGTTAATGGCTCGCCTCTGATGATCACGACTAACAACGTTGAACAGAGGCTCGTCATCCGATTCCTCCCACTCACTTTCAGGATTTCGAGATATCATTTCTTCGAAGATCTGATGATCCTGAGAGAATTCATCCACGTCATCATCGTCTTCGTCAAAGTCTTCGCAATCGGAGACATCTAGATTCACCAGAAACTCTGATATTTGATTATCTTCCAAACCTGGAAAAATTATTAAAAAATGCGAAGTATCATCAATGATACCGAAAAAAATCGGCTAAAATAAGTACGTTTGCAAAACACTTTTACAATTTTCTCAATGTCAAATGAAAATTTAGTGATTTCTCTATTCGAAACAAATAAAAAAGTAATACAAATGTAAATAAAACCAATATTTACCCTTTTTATTCGCCGACATGTCGTTACTCGCAAAAAATATTTCACGCAAGTGAATACAAATAACTGTCAAACTCCTTTGAATTAACCGAAACCACATTATGACGACAAACAGTCATACTACGTAACTTGCTACGTAAATAGTTCACAGCAAAACTGCTAGATGGCGCGGAAAAAAATATTGAATCTCGGTATCATGAGTGATACCAAGGGTCTCGGGAGGATATAGTGTAAAATAGAGATATATAATATCCCCGGGGTGTCCCAACAGACGGAATGGTTCGATGATAGACTGTCAAACTGCCGCTGCCAATGTCGATTAATTCAATGTGTTGCTGATTTCGTAACCTGTTCATATTTATGAAAAGGCTTGTTGAATGTGGATAGACAAAGTTAGATAACAAATAATCTTAAATCTGTAAGTCGTGGTTTTGTTGAAGATATTGCCAGTGGAAATTCGTCATTAAATCACCCCAATTTTGCGCTTGTTGAGGGGCAGTATTTTAACTCGTAATTAGTGACTTCTTGTTTATTATTTGCTTCTAACAACAGTGTACCAAACATCAGAGTATTGAAAAATATAAATTATCTTTAACATTTGCACATAGTTTTGTGTTTTTATTTTCAATTCACTTTTGTTGGAAAATTAATATTTTAAATGCACCTTTTTTTCTCGAAAATTGGGTACCTTCATTCTTAAACGAGTTTATTACTTCGCCTTTAGCACTAATGCTGTATTATATTGTAATATAAACTTAGGTGAGAAAAATATTTTTACTATGTTATTTTTAATAAAGCATGTCATTATTCTCATATATTATAAGCAAACACATTAACTTTCATATGTTTCTCATGAAATATAACGTTAGTAACAGTAGTAGTAGAACCCACGATCTTTTTGAGTTCGCGGTCCGCGCCCTGCCATTAGGCTACTGTCGCTTTCAAAAAAGAAGTATGTATATATTGTTACGAGCTTGAGGTTCGTGACAATAAAAATTGCCGATAGAATTACCTAAATTAACACTTTAATTTTATTTACATCAATTAAAACTTAAAACTTAAAACACTGATTCACTTTATTCTGCTCCAAAGCTTCGCTTGTCTCGCCAAATTCAATACTTTCCCGATCGCGTATTGCAGCGCCTTTATATAGGGCTCTTCCACGAAAACATCCAGAATATTCCAGAATATAAAAGTAAATACGCGCGCCAACCGACCAAGCGCAGAAAGTTCGAGTTTGGGGCTTCCAGAAAGCTTAGTTCTTCAATTCGATACTAGATGGCGCTGTCGGTTGAAAGATTAGTGATGTCATTTTCTGGAAAGCTCTCTCTACGCTCTGTTACACTAGATGGCGCTATTGCCAGATGTCAACTTAGCCGCGCAACACTGCCCCCTCCTAAGACATGCTCGTCCCGAACATTATCGGCCCCATAATAACGCGCCAGGCGATCCACATGGACGATCTTAGGAGACCCTCTTGCGCCTTTCTGTATCCGGTAGGTTACATCGTTGATCCTGGTTACAATCCGGTACGGGCCGTCCCATTTAGCTTGAAGCTTAGGAGATTTCCCTTTGCTGCGGACTGGATTGTGCAACCACACTAGTGAACCTTCGTCGAAGCCTTTAGTGTTCATTTTGCGGTCGTACCGGGTTTTCATCTTCTCAGACATTTGCTGGCCCGATTGTCTGACGTGCTCATAAATGTCATTCATTTTGTTCCGCAAGTCATTTGCATAATCGGTTATACTGCGTGGGGTATCAGGTGGTATCCCGGTGATCAGGTCTGCAGGCAGCCGTAATTCTCTTCCAAAGTTTGCGAAAGCTGGTGTCACTGCTGTACTTTCGTGAACAGCGCTTCGATATGACAACAAAAACGGTTGTATGTGCTTTTCCCAATCTCGTTGCCGATGGTCTACAACTTTTGCTAGGTACCTCTCCAATGTCTGATTAAATCGTTCTACCATTCCATCAGATTGCGGGTGATAAGAATTCGTTCTTGTTTTGTGAGTACCCATAACTCGGCAAGTTTCCTGGAATATTTGAGACTCAAAATTGCTTCCTTGGTCGCTGTGAATCTCTAAAGGTACTCCAAAACGACAGAAGACTTCATGAACTAGCTTATCAGCAACTGTTGAAGCTTTTTGATTTGGAATGGCGAAGCCTTGTGGCCACTTAGTGAAGTAATCCATCACAACCATGAAATACTTGTTACCGCTTTCACTCTACGGAAATGGTCCCGCCACGTCAATGGCTATTCTCTCCCATGGTGCACCAACATTGTACAACTTCAATGCACCTCTACTACGAGTCTGAGGTCCCTTTACAGCCGCACAACTTGTACATTTGCGACACCAGTCCTCGACATCGTTTCGACAGTGGACCCAGTAAAACCGTTCTCGGATCTTCAATAGAGTTCGTTTAACTCCCAGATGGCCTCCTGAACAATCATTATGGTACAGCTGTAGAATATCCGGTACTTTAGCTTTAACAACCATTTGCAAATGACAGCTGTCTCCCCGAACATTTTCCCATTTACGACACAGAACTCCATCCTGAAGCAGCAAGCTGTCCCACTGGGCCCAATAGCTTTTAGTGGTCGAACTCATCGCTGAGACGTCACTCCACTTGGGCTTGGGAGCACTGGCCTTTATCCATTCCAGAATCGGCTTGATGTCCGGATCTTCCTGCTGTGCATGTAGTAAGCTGTCCTTCCATTCATTGCTGAGGTGGTCTGCCCTGAGCATCCTCACGGATACCACTTCCTTACTCTCTTGCCTAGTACAATGTTTGCGATCTTCAGGACAAGGTCTTCTTGACAAAGCATCTGCGTTGCCATGAGAGAGATGAGATCCCGCTGCGATGTTCGATCTCAAAGTCGTATTCCTGCAGTAGTTCAATCCACCTCGCAACTTGTCCTTCTGGGTTTTTAAACTGCAATAGCCATTTTAGTGCAGCATGGTCAGTTCGTAAGTGAAATTTTCGTCCCAGAAGATATTTGCTAAAATATTGCAACGACTTTACCACAGCTAGCAATTCGCGTCTTGTGACACAATAGTTCCTTTCCGGTTTTGACGACTTGCTGAAGTACGCCACGACCTCTTGGTCACCATTCCGTTGAGACAACACACCGCCAAGTCCTATATCACTTGCGTCTGTGTCAACTAGGGATGTAACGATACATGAATTTGCCGATACGATACCGATACCGATTATCGAGAAAAATAATCGGCGATACCGATATCGATGGCTTAGTAGTAAATACACCCAGTAAATAAAGAATGATGTACTTTATGTTAAAACTTACTTATGTTACATGGAATAAATAGACACTCCATTCTGTAAAGTGTGGCAAAAATGGAAATTAAAAATAATGAAAAAAAAAAGGTAAAATATCATATCAACATTTATTTGGGTAACATTTATCAAGGCATCAAATCAAAAGTAAATCAATATTAATAATCAAAGTTCACTTTAGGAAGATTTTTGTTTAGGAAACAAAGTTTATTCAAATTACTAGCAGATAATCTGTTGCGCAAATCATTTTGTATGAGGCCTGCAGTTGAAAAAAGACGTTCTGAGGCAACTGAGCTCATTGGGTAAGATAAATATTTTTGTGCAAGCATTTTCAATTTTGGGTATTTATCTTCATTGCTCCAATAGTTCTTTGGATCTTGTTTCATTGGAATATTTGGACATATCGTATAAGATTCCACCTCTTCTTGCTCAGGATGACTAGACATGTTTGATAAAGGTTCCTCCTCTTCTGCTTCTTTAATCAAACTGTCACAAGCACTCCAGATACCTGAGAAAGTCTCATCTTGCTTTTTTTGTGACTCTACACTCTCTACAGGAACATGTGTATCCCTGTTTGTAATTAAGGAGATAAGTATTCTTTTCGCCTCAATGCTTGTGGATTGTAGAGAGAACGTACGCAATTTATAGCGCGGATCTAGTGTTGTTGATAAAATAAAGGTTTCCTCACTCTCTAGATAATGAAATCTGTCATTTATTCCAGCTAACAAAATCTCTACAAAATTATAATATTCTGGGCTGCTGTAACTGTCGTCCGCGATCTCTTGATTATTTTTGATCTGTTTTAAAACTTTTCGCAAACTGTTAATAAGAGGTATAGCGTCAGATAAGCAAGCAGATTCTTCGCTTATAGATTTTGTAGCTTCTTCAAAATAATTTAAAGTCGAAACAACTTGTTCCATCAATAGCCATTCTTCTGTAGACAATTCAGTTCTACATTTCACATGAGGCAAAGAAGCTTGAATTGCAACTCGTTGCTCTAAAAGTCTTCTAAGTGCATGAAGGGTTGAATCCCAGCGAGTAACGACATCCTGAATGAGAACGTGACAAGGAACGTTATGAGATTTTTGCATTTCTGTTAGGATTTTGTGACCTGACGTTGAATGACTGAAGTGGCCAATAATAGATCTCGCCTTTGTAATCATGGCATTTATTTTCTCTTCAAAAAACGCATCCTTCAGCACTAATTGTAAAGAGTGCGCCATACATCTGATATCCCACTAGTGTTACAGCAAGCCCCATATTCGGTGCATTATCTGTCACTACAGCACGTACCCGTTCGCTGATGTGCCAATCTTGAAATAATTGACGTAAGTTTTGAGCTATGTTTTCAGCGCTATGATTTTCGCCTTCAAAAGGAAATACTTCTAGGCAGTAGTTCTTCAACTCAAAATTTTTATCAAGTCCGTGAGCAGTCACACTTATAGTCGTTATAAGTCGTTAACGGACGAAGAAGCATCGCTTGTCCATAAGTCAGTCGTGATAGTGATGTGCGGAAGTTCATGCAAAAGTTCCATTATTTTGGTTCTTACACGGCAGTACATGTCTGGTATTACATTTTCCGAAATATGGGGACGGGAAACCATTTTGTATTTCGGGCAAAACTGCTTAATAGTGTGTTGAAACCCCAGTTTATTTACTAAGTCAAACGGCTCCATGTCTACACACATTTGTTCAGCTATTGTTTGCGTGATCGCTTTTGCCCTAGGGTCATCGGTATCATACATGACACTTTTTTCCAAAATATGCTCCAAAGTAGCTTGTTTTTTAGGCGGCGGGCCACCGTTGGCGCTTGAGGTACCTGGGGTGTCTTTTTCCAACTCCATTTCGTGATAGCGCTTCACGTGTGTTAGATGTCGTGAAGCCCTTCGATGAAACTGCTTTGCTACCACGAGAAACGCTGACATTGGAATATAAACAAGTCGATTTTGTGTCATCATCCCGTTTTATTTGAAAATGATTCCAGATGCAACTTCTATGTTTTAAAGGAGTCGCCATTTTATTTATCGTACGTAACTGTATTACAGTCCTCACTTCACTCAAAAACAGACGAAATCATGAGTAGCATAATAGACGTAAATTCGTCGAAAAACATTACAACGCTGTGCCAAAACTAAGCAAACACTGACGAGTGACGACCGTTAACCGCATTGCCGTTTCGCTGGCGGGCGCGTCCTTCCCTCCCGCCCTCTGAGATGGAGTGGCAACGTGGCCGCGCGCGAGCGCGTCGTTCTTTTCGCGCGCTTTTCAAACTGTGTATCGGCTGTATTTAAATCGGCGATGCCGATATATCGGCCGATATATCGGTATCGGTATCGTTACATCGCTAGTGTCAACTATAAATTCTTTACTTGCATCAGGGTATCCCAAAATAGGTGTTTAGCACAGACGGTCCTTGAGCTCCTGGAATGCGATATTGCAACTTTCATCCCAGCGGAAAAGTCGCTTCCCCTCGGTTAGCTTATGCAGAGGTTTGGCTATATCTGCAAAGTTCTTCACAAACCGCCGGTAATAGGAGCACAAACCCAAAAATGCTCTAACCTGCGTCTTGTCTTTTGGAACCGGCCAATCCTTGACAGCGGCGATTTTCTCTGGATCCGTGCGGATGCCCTCTTCCGATACTACATACCCCACAAAGTTAACTTGCCGTTTGAATAGTGAACATTTCTTCGGACTCAACTTGAGGTTGGCACTATGAATCTTCATGAGCACGCGTTCCAGGTTTTGAAGGTGTTCCTCAAACGTACGACCTACTATGATAATGTCATCCAAGTAGACCAGACAGGCATCGCCAATTAGCCCGGTAAGTACAAGTTCCATCAGCCTTTCAAACGTTGCTGGAGCATTGCACAACCCAAACGGCATTACTTTAAATTGCCACAGACCCTTTCCCGTCGAAAACGCAGTTTTCTCCTTGTCCTTAGGGTCAATTATGGTCATATATTAGGGTCAATTTCAACTTGCCAGTAGCCACTTTTTAGATCCAGCGTGCTAAACCACTTTATTCCTGTAAGCATGTCCAGCGTGTCATCAATTCTTGGCAAGGGATAGCTGTCCTTCTTCGTAACGTCGTTCAGACGGCGGTAGTCAACACAAAACCGCATGCTGCCATCCTTTTTCTTTACCAGCACCACTGGTGAACATCATGGACTAGAGGAAGAAAAAAAGAAAGAATACATCGGCATACTTGAGTAACAACTTCTTCGCCTTAACCATTTCGGTCGGGGAGAGAACGCTGCGACAGTCTTCCAAAAGTGTGATCACTCTCGTTTGTGCATCCTTGCTGGGGGTCTCACTCGATAGATATTGGCACCGACATAACCAATCCACTTCCTCAGAAGTACCAACCAGCGTGCCTTTTTCTATAATCTGTTCCCGGTCACAAAGGTTCAGCACACGTACTCCTGAGATGTCAGTGGTTCTGACCAAGGTTCGAGCCACTTTCCATGGAAGGTCATTGTTTACCCTTTCTACAAGTACACAACGGTGAGCTTGCCCAGCGTTTCGAGGAAGACTAACCGGAACAATCGTTTCCGATCTCGGCGGAAGAACAATCTTCTTAATGCTGTACACATTCCCTGGTAACGCACCTTCCATAAAAAGTTCCTCCTGTCCACATTTCAAAACACCTTGCTCAACGTCGATCTCACAACAATTATTCCTCATAAAGTCTGGGCCCAGGATGCAGTCGTCCATTATATCAGCCACGATGACATTATGCAGGTAGATCAAGTTGCCTAGCTTTAACTCCATCTCCTTCTCTCCACGGACGGGTATACGCTGACCGGTGGCTGTTACCAAATTAATGCGTTCTCGGTTGTATGCGGAGTCCCCAAGGAACTGACTTGTAAGTTGGGAACTAACAACCATACGAGAGGCTCCAGTGTCTATGGTCAGTTTACACGGCATTCCGTTGACCTCGCCCTTGATGATTAGACTGTTTCCATCATGGGTTTGTGAGATCGAGATCCTTGGGGCTCTTTTAACATCAGCCAGCACCCGCCCCGCAGTTCTGGCTTTTACTCGTTTCCCTGCTGCTGCTGGGCGGTGCTGTTGGCCGCACTACCCTCCTGAGATCGTTCAACTTCCGTTTCTAGGGTTCGCTTAGGGCAGCTGGATTTAAGATGGCCCTTTTCCCCACAGCCATAGCACCTAGGGCTGTACCCTCTGTTGCGGTCGCGAACTGTAGCTGCTGCAACCTCCCTGACGCGATGGGAACGATGATCCTGCCGCACGGCTTCCACCTCCAGTGCATGAGCCAAGGCGTCCTTAAGCGTCTCGTGGTGCCCGAGATTCACAGCAGCTCTGACTTCCAGGTCGCGGATGCCGTCGATGAATGTCTGCATCAGGTTCCCTTCAATGAGCGCAGGTACAGACCGGTATGCTTTTCGCACTAGCTTCTCCACCTCTAGAGCCCACTGCTGCAGGCAGGCGCTGCACGCGATCTTTAAGCTGCGCACGAAAGACGTGTTCCAGGTGAGCGTCGCCATATCTCGCCTCCAATGCCTCAAAGAGTTGCTCATAAGTCACTTTCTCACCGAGAGCTTCCAGAACTGTTAAGGCCTGGTCGCGCAGGCCTAGTGTGAGAGCAGTCATGGCCTGGCTTTTATTCCAACCGTTCGCCTTCATAACAGCTTCGAACTGGATTTTGTAGGCTGACCAGGAAGAGGTACCGTCGAACGGTGGCACTTTGAAATCCACGTAGCGAAGTTCCATCCCCAAGTTTAAGTTCGTCCAGTGATTTCTTGATGTCAGCCATTACGCTGTGCAATTGGACGATTTGGGTTTCAGCTTCCGACAGGCGGTTGTCATGTTGAGCAACCCTATCCTTCACCTCCCTTATCTCTTTCCCAAAGGTAGCATGAAGGTCCTTCATGAGGAGCATCTGCTCTTCCGACCGACGAGCCTGTTCCGCCTGCTGATCTTCCAACCGACGGGCCTGTTCCTCCTGTCGGCGGGCCTGTTCCTTCTGTCGGCAAGCCTGTTCATCCTGTCCGCCCCGCAGCTGCTCTTCCCCCCGACGGCCCTGTTCTTGAATCTGTCGGCGAGCCTGTTCCTCCTGTCGGCGAGCCTGTTCCTCCTGTCGGCGAGCCTGCTCCTGCAGCATCACCATCAGAGCACCTAAGTCAGGTGCTGCAGATGTAGGAGCTACTGACGGCCCTGCAGCCGGCTGGCCCTCCGAAGTCTGCGGCGTTGCACCACCAAATCTTCTTTGGTCCGTCTCCTGCTGGCGTTGACTTCGGGTACGGACACCTTCTGTTTCCTCCTTAGGTAAAATCGGCAAGATTTTATCCCACTTCTGATACCAATTGTTACGAGCTTGAGGTTCGTGACAATAAAAATTGCCGATAGAATTAACTAAATTAACACTTTAATTTTATTTACACTAATTAAAACTTAAAACACTAACAATTAATCACACTGATTCACTTTATTCCGCTCCGAAGCTTCGCTTGTCTCGCCAAATTCAATTCTTCCCCTATCGCGTATTGCAGCGCCTTTATATAGGGCTCTTCCACGAAAACATCCAGAATATTCCAGAATATTCGAGTAAATACGCGCGCCAACCGACCAAGCGCAGAAAGTTCGAGTTTGGGGCTTCCAGAAAGCTTAGTTCTTCAATTCGATACTAGATGGCGCTGTCGGTTGAAATATTAGTGATGTCATTTTCTGGAAAGCTCTCTCTACGCTCTGTTACCCGACACTAGATGGCGCTATTGCCAGATGTCAACTTAGCCGCGCAACAATATTTTTAAAGATAATGTCTACTAAGTATCTTGAGCTAGTTTTTATCATGTTCTTTATATGACTGTACACAGCCGAGGTGGGAAGTCAGTAGAAAATATTTAAGAATTCCGATTATACACATCTGGGGTGAATAGATGAACACACATTTCCAAATGTCTGTCCTAGGGTGGATATACGAAATAACCTAACTGAAGCAGATATGCCCCTTAATATCTTATTTACGTTGCCATTTTCTAAACATTACATTACAAAATAGTCTACCATCATTAATTTAAATTTTTTGTCTTAGAATAACTCAAGAGGTAATAGTTACCAAAATAAAGGATTTGATTGTGTAGTTGACTTGTTTATTAGACATTGTCATCAATGTTTCGACCGACAACTTGAGCGTTTTATTAAAGTGGGTAGGCAAAAAAAGTAAAGTGCTTGAAAAAATAGAAATTTTGTCACTTGTGTTCTTAGTCTAAGTGCAATTGTTGAACATTGCTTTCTTGTACAGTTTTGTTTGATTTTTGTGTTAATTGTGAACACTATAGCTGTAGTCATATGGACTTGGAAACTGCAGCTAGAGAGCAGTTGCACTGCTTCAAGAGGGAGTGCCTCAGAGATATGTAGCAATACGTGTCGGTGTATCGCGAAGAGGTATCCGAAACGTGAGAGCAGTACCAGGAAACCGGGAGTGTGGCTAGGAGACCACAGAACAGGAAGAGCTAGAGAGCTATTACTATTTTTTTTTATAGTATAGTCTGACAAACTAGCACACGGTCCACCTGATGGTAAGTGGCCCTTAGACATCTACATCTATCCTCGATTACAAATCAAAATGCAGATGCGTTGTCACCCGTGAGGACTAAGATGGAATGCCTCGTTTCCAGTAAAAAGGGTCTCCAGTTCTCTACACTCACCATACGAAACACAGCAGTATTAAGCTACTATTTTACGCTGGTATTCTGTGAGAGCGTGGTCCTTCCCCGGTTGAGCCGACCCATTCGTGCTACAACTATACTAGTATATAACTGCAGCATGGCTTAAAGTAAAGTAAAGTTACAGTCTATATACGTCCCACCGCTGCGCACAGGACTCCGCTCATTTCTGAAAGGGTTGGGCATGGCTCTACCACATATAAAACTGTTCATGAAGACCGCTTTATCAGGTTAAC